AACAGGAGGAGAATATAAGAGAGGAAGAAAGGAACAGAGAGGAGATATAAAAAACAAGAGAAAAAAATAAAAAATAAAAAAAAATAAAATACAAGAGAAAACAATAAAATGGCAGTAAGTACGTATCTATCAAATTGTAGGAGGGGATATTTGAAAGGCGATTCCAAAGTTCATCTGAAAAAATAAATGTGAAATCCAGAGTCACCTGGATTCCAAAAATTCATCAGGAAGGTTTTTAAACAAAAAATAAGGCAAGAATCCCTTTTCTACCAGCTAACAAAAGCCACCATAATAAAAGCAGTATACTGGTGGTCCAGAAAAGACAGATCAGTAAAAGAAAAAAAATTAAATATAGAAACTGACCCACATATGTCTAATAATTTAGTATGTGGTAACAATGGCATGTCAAATTAGCAAAGAAAGGATGAATTATTTAATAACTGGTCTTTGTATAACTGTCTAATCTGTTGGAGATAAATGTAAGGCTGGATCCTTCCTTCGCACCTTGGACTGAAATAAATCCCAGATGGATTTAAGACTTAAAAAAAAAAAAAGTAAGTATACTTACCCAGCATTGTGGTATAACCACAATATCTACAATATAAAAAGATCTAAGTCACAAATAAAAGAGCAAACATATTAATCAGCATTTGCTTACAACTCACATTTCTTTCAAAACTGTTTTCCCCCCATGGCAAAATAAATATAATAGGCAAAGAGTGCTATGAGAACAAAATTTTATAATGACAGCAAAAACAATATCTGAGTCACAAAAACTCAAGTACCTCATTTATCAGTGCTTTCCTCTCAAACTTACATAGCTAAATGCCTCAACCTTCCACCAAAATGCCACCATCTTATTTACAGAATAAGCTGTTGTACGACTTTTAGGTTCTTAGGACTGAGTGGTACAGGCCATCCCTTGTTTAACCTCCAAATCCACTCACAAAGTTACAAGTTTCAAAAAATTTTCCCTGCCCCTCAAAAGTCAAAGCCCATAAAGGAAACCATTATAGTGAGACACTCGTGGCCTGTCTTAATACATAATTGTATTCTCACTATGAAAAGAAAGTAATTATTTTTTTAAGATTCAGACTGCCACCTTATGGCTATTTCACCCTATGATTTTATACCTTTGTGGTCTCTGTCCCTCTGTCAGATAATATGTGAACATGTCTCTTATAAGCAAGACCAAACATAACTAGAAAAATAAATATGCCAGGCAAAAAAAACTATGGTGAAGGGAAGGCAAATTATGAAAATTAAGGTTTTTCAAACTGTAAACATGTTGGGCTTATCTGTAGTACTGCTGCCCTCTAGCAACTCAACAGTCTTTCTTAAATGTGTGGGACTAAACCAGGAAGAACAACTAGAGAAGGATGGACTAAACAATATATTTGAAATGCTTTAAAAATAAAACCTTGTATTATATATAATTCACCTTAATTAATTTGTAAGATACTGAATCATTTTAATCCAAATCATTATAATTATCCAAAAGAATCCACTGGGTTCTCTATTGTCAAAACACTGACTTATCTTCTATTTTATAAAGACATTTAGGGTATAAATTTTTAAACCTTTTTTTAATGTTCAAAAGAATTTTTTAAATTGAAGTATAATGACATACTATTATAATATATGGGGTATAATTAAATTACTATAAAAAGGGAACTTAGAGAATCTTACAAGTTTTTTAAAAGTTCTTAAAGTACAAAAAATACAAAATCTCAATACATCTTCACCTAAAAACTGTCATCTCGAGCCCTCTGTGGAATAAGGTAGGGTATGTAAACTACTTAATTTATAAAACAAACCTAAAAACTTCATTATCAAGAAAGAGAGAGTTTTTAATAAAAGTAAAATAAAAAATATTTTATTAGGAAGGGAGAAGCTTCTGTTAGTGCCATAAATGCAAAGAAACATCACCTGTTCTCCCAGAAGCATCCACGCCCTCTTCCCAATCTTCTCTCCTGCTTCCACTGAGTCTGGGGGAAAGGGAAATCAGTACAAACCTTCAGTGACAGCCTTCACAAACGACTTCTAACCGCTGTGACTGGAGCACCTGACAGACACTGGTACAGTGAGTGCAACTGGCACTCCCCCATTTCCAAGAAAAATACATTCATATTGCAAGCACATAACAAATCAAGATATAGATGATCTAATGTTACAAAAGAAATTTAGCCCCTAGACAATTATTCTTAAACCTACAAAAAAAAGGCCAGAGGGTGAATAAAGAATATTTGGCAAATACTGTCTAAACAGCACTGTACAACTTTCTGTAAAGATGGAAATGTCCTATTTCTGCAGTAATACAGTAGCCACTATCCACATGTGGCTACTGAGTGCTTGACATGTCACTTGTATGATAGATAAGCGGAATATTTAATTTTAAGTATTTCATGTCTGTTTTATTTTAAATAGCCACCTAGCCATTTTCCCTTTAGGGTACAAGTCAAAATTTGGGAGGGAGGGAGGGAAATGCAAGTTTAATTTGAAAAAGCATGTTCAATGCCATAAGCACACATGGAAAACAAACCTACTATTTCTGTAATACTAACTACAAAAGGCAAAACTCAACAAAATACTATGGCTTCACTATTTTCTGCTAATCAGCCCAGGGGAAGGGGTCATATCCCCAGAGTTGTGTGTCAAATGGTCAGCTGTCACTTCAAAGTCACCACTGCATCCTTCTGTGTTCTCTGCAATCACAGGGGAGAAGCCAGGAAATACAGTCCCTTCCTTGGGACACACAGAGTCCTGAGTTAGATCTACCAAAGAGACATCGCCTAAAAGCTGGGAAAGCAGGGGAAGCAGCCCTGCGAGCAGACCGCTGGCACAGGATCAGCAGCGCATGCGGGTGAGCTCTTGCAAACCACCTGCAGCAGGCTGAGGGTCGCTGGTCCCCACGACACACACCTGTCCAGCCCTTCCAATGGGCTTGTCAGCCTCTCGTTCTTTGTATCAAAACCTTTCACACTCGGAAAACCTAGAGCAGCTTCTGTTTTCCTGACTGAATCCTGATTGATATAGGTTGCAAATCAAAACTGGTGGGGAGGAGAAAAGTCTGGGATTTTTCTCTTTATAACATAGGTTTTTAAAGCTGCAGAATTAAAAAAAAGTTAAAAACCTTTTCATAGATCCTCAATGTGGAAAGAAGATACTGAAATACATATCTCATTATTCCCCTCAACACTCAAAACAAACCATACTCTATTTCCTTTTCTCTAAAATTTCAAAATGAAGTCACTGGAGGTCTAATTTTGTCCCTGGCCCATAAAAACAATCTAATTTTCAGAAAAGTCAGTAAGTACTAGCTTTTTAAAGCAAATCTACTCAAGAAGGTTCCTTACACATACTACTGGAATCAATACATTAAATGTAAAGGCTGTATTTGCTGTTTATCTAGAGGCTTTGTTTTAATGCCTAACTTTGACTCTTAATATTTTACAAGATTACAAAGTCACACAGAGCAATGATTACTTGTGCAAACAGGAATATGGAAGTTGAGTATTAAATGGGGGCATTTCACTTCTTACACTATATTACTTGAAAAATGTTTTAAAAACTATTTTAAAAAGAATTTAAGGTTATTCCATAGGAATACATAAGACCTTTTAGTTAAAACAGGTCTTTTAAAATAAGAACATATTCATATCCATACCTATAATAATTTATTGATTATACCATGTGCTCACTAATAAAAACATTAAATGATAAAATAGAAGTTAGACTCATGAAGTAATTTATACTAAGGTTAAAAAATTCTCCCATATTATATAAACTATGTAGCCAAACAGCTTTAGTTAATTCAGATAAAATCTAATTCATAATTACTCTGGAATGCTGAGATATTTGATCAGTGATTACTAATGTGAGCAACAGTGTTACTTAAAGGAAAATAAACAATTCTCTCAAATATACCATAGTTGGCTACTGCTTTTCCGCCTTTTCTTCTTATTTCTGCAACAACTTTATCAGCAGCTGAAGAGCCTTGACCAATTCCCCTGTGGACCCCTCCTAAATCATTCACTGCAATGTAAGAACAAGCAAGAATTCATTTCTAGACCTTCAAAACACAACTCGGAAATGAAATTCTATTACTAGTGTATTTCTTCAGTTATCTATCTTCCCAATTTCCTTCTACCCCCATTGCCACCTTACTAAACACACTACGAGATATGTACTTCAAAATGCGCCTGTTTATAGATGTGTATGTGAAGCAGCAAAAATATTTAAACACAGGTTCATGTCATGAAATTTGTAACTTTGCAATACCCTTCCTTTTTTCAAAAGAAAAAGAAAATGATACAACCCACTTTTAGGAAAAACAAAGGAAGAAATAACCTTAGGATCACAGTAAGATTAAACACACAGGAAAATAATGTAGAGGTTTCTCAAAAAATTAAAAATAGAATTGCTGTATGATTAATCAGTCCCACTCCAGGGTATTTACCCACTCCAGGATATTTACTCAGAAGAATTAAAATCAGGATTTCAAAAAGATATTAGCACCCCAATGTTCACTGTAGCACTATTCACAATAACCAAGACATGGAAACCTAAGTTTCCATCAATAGATGAACTGATCAAGAAAATGTAGCACATATATACAATATAGAATACTATTCAAGTTTAAAAAAAAAGAAATTTTGCATTATGCAGCAACATGGATGAACCTTGACAACAATATATTTAGTGAAACAACCCATTCACAGAAGGCCAAATACTGCATGATTCCACTTACATCAAAGTATCTAAAATAGACAAACTCCCAGAATCAGAGAGTAGGATGGTGGTTGCCAAAGATTAGAGGGAAGAGAGGAGGGTTGCTCATCAGTGGGCACAAAAGTTCAACAATGCAAGATGAATTCATTCTAGAGTCTGGTCTACAACATAGTACCTATATTTAATAATACTGTACACTTAAAATTTGTCATGAGGGGTAGATCTAATATTAAGTGTTCTTATTACAATTAAAAAAAATTAAATACACAATGTGAAATAACTTCTCTATGTCAAGAAACCTTTTGTTTACAGGAATGGTGATAAAGAACTAGTATGAGACTAAACTAGTAGACAGAGAAGCACACTTTTAAATCATAATAGAACATTCTGTGTCATGGGCTACACTGAAAGAAAGAAAAACAATGAAAAGAAGTAAAAAATTATCCACAGAACTAATACGTATTCCGTCACTAATTCATACTTTCTTTATATGTTCAACAAATAACTGCACTTACCACTTAACATCTCCTTATATCCAATTATACATATTAATTGAGCATTTACTATTTGCAAGGAAACCTACAGGGGGAGACAAACATGTCTAAGAGTGGTGCCTGCCCTTGATGAGTTTATAATCTGTTAAAAGTTAAGTGTGTGATGACTACAGCAATGCAGAGTTTAGCATAAGGTATAAAAAGACCAAATTAACTTAGTAATAGGCACAAAAAACAAAGTTAACTCATACAATAATTTCTGATAAAATTTACAAAATAATATGCAGAACTATCAAAAAGATATGTAGGTCAGTACCAAATAACTTGAAAAATAAAACAATTAAAAAAAATACTTCGGACAAAGAATTAATTTGCTAAAAAAATGTTTTTTTCTTCTGAGGAATGGCTCCGTTTTTTGGACTGGGGTGAGGGTTGCATGGGGGATTGAGTACACAAAAGGATAATACAGAGAAAAAGCCAGTGTCTAGACACACTTTAAGTCAGCTGAGCTAAATGTTTTTTTTTTCTTAAAGGAAATGAAGTTTTCAAACTGTAGACTATATTTTTTCTAATATAGTTTTATCAGTTTTACTGCAAATAAAAAATGCTGTGAAGGCACAAATGGAGTCTTATATTATCCCTGAAGAGATTAAAAAACATGTGGTTAAGATTCTCAAGACTAGATTCCTATTAATCATTCATTTCCATGCAATTATTCAAATGACAGGAAACAACCAGTACAAAATATCACGATTTTAAAACATACAGCGAACAGTCTTTTAAAACCCTTTTTAACCAAGCGAGGAAAAGCTCAATAGCCAATTGGCAAGTGTGATATTTCAGTAGAGAAAATTAGTTGTGCAATGAAGACTGCCCCCAAGTGGAAATTGTTCAAAGTGCAACCAAACAGGTGAACACTGAAACCTGGGTAAATAATTAATTCACTGACATAAATGATGTGCCGTGAACCAATATCAGAATATGTTTATTCAAGATAAGTCTCTACCTTAGCACTAAATTAACACTGACCTCATTCAGTCATCCTACTATCACCAGAGCTAACTCACAGGGACTACAGCCTAAACTAGAAAAGCCCAGGTTACAGGCTGAAGGGCTTGGATACAACGTTACAAGACTTTTTACTTGTATACAAAGAAAAATGTATCTATACTACATGACACTGTTACCATACAACTGTAAAACTAAAATTCTAATATAATAATAATAAATAAAAATGTTAAATACCATCACTACTTTATACTGGGATGTGCATACTTTGTGTTTTCAAAGAACCATTATGTACACCGCTGTATTTGACCTCCAAGCAGCTTTTCAGGAGGTTGGCAGGAGCAGTTGTTATTACTTTCAGGGATGTGGAAACAGCTGGGAAAGGTTAGGTAACTTGTCCCAGGCTCCAAGGCTGCATGAAGTGGCAAAATTCAGTCTTGAACCTAGGTCTACTACAGTGTCACTCTGCTCCTCTAATGCTGCCAAGTTTTTGTTACCCTAAAACAGAACATAATTATTTCCACCCAAAAACAGCAACAAAAATCGTGTTTATATGGGGGAGGGAGTAAGGAAACAACAGATCAGCCACCTCTCTCAAGCAAAGGGCTTGAAAACAAGTAGTAAAAATTGTTAAGATTATGATAAAGACAGAGTACTTTCAGCTGAAACTATCAAAATATCCCAGAAATGTAATATATCTGTATGTCCTCCACATAAAATCCAGTTTATAACCCTGAAGGGCTTGTTTCCTGAAGACAAAATCTTTTGCCTACTTCTGACACGAAACCAGAGGACCTGAATACACATTTTCCCAAAGAAGAGACACAGGGCCAACAGGGCTATCAAAGACTAGATAAATTTCTTCCTAAAAATCCATCCCCAAGACTTTTTAAAAGTCAGCAGTGGCCTGCTATAAGCCAACCACAAGACAGGGATGTAAGGATCCAGGGACCTCTAAAACACCATTAGAGCCTATAAACGTACTCTGTAAATAGGTAAATGGACACCTCAATACTAAGCACCACGTTATCAGGAATGGATGGCCCGAAAATGGGACTATGTATTTGTGAGATTGCCTGCGTCCCCACTTCCTCACAACAGTGGACATAATCATTCTTTGCAGTCTGCCAATTAAATTATTATAAACTGTAGCTCATTATTCTAATTTACATTTCTTCCAACACTAGTAAGGTAACATTTTATTTTCATGGGTTATTGTTTGCACTGCTTAAATCACATTTTATTTGGGATGTTTGTCTTAAAGATTTTTAAGTGTCCTTTATTTGTAAAACATTTAATTCTTTATCATACATACATATTGCAAATCAAAAATTATTTTATTGAAATGTTGAGCAAGAAAGAGAAGTAACATCTGAGCATAAATATTAGTTGATAAGCATATGTACACCATTTTTCAGTATTGTCTCATGGAAACCAGATAGAGAAATCTGGATTTGTCTTTAGTAATCCAATGTGCTGTACTGGTCTCATTGCTCTCAGAAGCTGATTGTCTTGCTCCTTCTCTTTGCCCTTCACCCCAGCCTTCCCTACTGGCCCCAAAGACTGAAGCAGTCTACAGATTCAATGTAATCCCTACCAAAATACCAATGGCAGTTTTTCCATTGAACTAGAGCAAATAATCCTAAAATATGCATGAAACCACAAATAAAACCAAATAGCCCAAGCATTCTTGTTTCCCTTTCTCCCCCAACCCCCAAGTAATCTTGAGAAAGAATGAAGCTGGGGGGTACCACACTCCCTGACTTCAAGCTCTACTAAAAAGCTAAAGTTACCAAAATGCTATGGTACTGGCACAAGAACAGACACATAGACCAATGGAAAACATAATTACAGAGCCCAGAAATATACCCACACCTACATGGTCAATCATCTTTGAAAAAGGAGGCAAAAACACACAATGGAGAAAGGACAGTCTCTTCAATAAATGGTGCTGGGATAACTGAACAGCTACATGCAGAAGAATGAAACTGGATCACTGTCTTGTACCATACACAAAATTAAACTCAAACTAGATAAAAGATCTAAATATAAGACCTGAAACCATAAAACTTCTAGAATAAAACACAGTAAATTCTTGAACATTGTCATTGGTAAATTTTTTCTGGCTATGTCTCCCCAGGAAAAGAAACAAAAGCAAAAATAAAAAGCAGGGCTACATCAAAGTAAAAGCTTGTACAGCAAAGAATACCATCAACAAAATAAAAAGGCAACAGACTCTATGGGAGAATATATTTGCAAATAATTTATCTGTTAAGGGGCTAATATCCAAAATATATAAAGAACTCATATAACAACACCAAATTAGACAACCCAGTTAAAATATAGGCAGAGGACCTGAACAGACATTTTTCCAAAGAAGACAGATGGAGGGGCAACAGACACAGTAATCAAGTCAATTTGGTACTGGCACAAGAACAGACCCATAGATCAATGGAATAGAATAGAGAGCCCAAATATAAACCCTCACTTACATGGCCACTTAATATAAAATAAAGGAGCCACGAATATACAATGGGGAAATGGCAGCCTCTTAAACAGCTGGTGTTGGCAAAACTGGACACCTACATGTAAGAGAATGAAACTGGATTACTGTCTAACTCCATACACAAAACTGAACTTAAAATGGATCAAAGACCTGACTGTAAGTCATGAAACGATAAAACTCTTAGAAGAAAACATAGCAAATATCTCTTGAATATAAACATGAACAACTTTTTTCTTAACGTATCTCCTTGGGCAAAGGAAACAAAAGCAAAAATGAACAAATGGGACTACATCAAATTAAAAAGCTTCTGTACAGCAAAGGACACC